AAAGAACTATATAAATGCAGAGTACTTATCATTCAGAAACTCTCAAATACCATGAATTTTCCACTCTTATTACGTGAAAAGTGGTGTAATTGTAAGCATTGTGTAAAAAATACTAACAAAATACCTAAAGTTTCAAGAATGGTGATACAATGAATTGAATTGTTAAAAGTAGAAAGTGGACATGAATTTGTATGTAAAAATGATTTGTTTTCATGTTTAGGAAAGTACGAAACGTCAGAGTTCTAACTCACCTTCAGTACAGATGATCGGGAATTAATCGATTTGTGGATGGATTTATCAATTGCAATGTCTTCTATGACTTTCACTCCACCCATCTGCTCCCAGTGTGTCAAAGATACATTTGAAGCACGTGCAATGAATTGACAGGTCCAATAAACTGCCAACAGAAGTTAAGAAAAGAAATCAAAAATAGTATTTCTCAGAGGAAAAAATAAAAATTAATTTTTGTCAACAAGAAATTATAAGCATATTTAATATAATACCCTTTACTAAGTATTTTAAGATTTCAGCTCATTAATATAGAAAAAATGGAAACTTTGTGAGTATTTACCATTGACACTAGGAAATATAACTGGATAACAAGGACCCTGAAGCTGAAGAGAGCTGTTTCTAAGCTGGGGAGTAAGGTCAGCAAAATAGTCGTAATTTCTATCAATCCAGTTATCGATCGAGAGGCGAACATCACCCTCTGGATAATCACAAACCCAATTGAGTGAGTCCTCAGATGGGATTGGACAATCCAGCAAACATATGCTGCGGGCGTTCGAGAGCTCAAAATTACTGCCCTTTACACCAGTTTGATAAACCTGGTTAGGGTTTAGCCAATATCTTAGCTCCAATTCACGAAGATCACGATCCGCATGTCTATCGCCACACACATTACCTTTATAGTCCAGCCCATAGTTTAACCTTCCAAATCACAAACACATCGAACGTTATTTATACAGTAAATGAAATGGAAACAGAGTATCTATCACTTCATAATAGGATATAAGACAATGAAAAACAAAAATGAAAAGGTTCACTTAATGTAAGTACAGTTTTGTTACGGAGCCAGCCACACTTATTCACCAACAGTGTATTCAACTAGAGAAAATGCAGAAAAACGAAATTAGTCCAACGTAGGAAAGTGTGTAACTATTTGGCAACATACAACAGACCTAAATATTTAGAAAAATCAAAAAATTACCAAGACAAACAAATGCCACTAAAACATCACAGAAGCAAATCCCACGATAAATCAGTCTGTAGCACCACCAGTGAAAAATACACAGAAATAGAGCTCCAAGCTCCAACATCCCAAGAAGGAAAAAAAATAAGTATATAAAATAAAAAACACAGGACAAAACAAAACCAGATGCAAATCTTCTTTCTCGCATAGCATGAAAACACACCATCACCCCAATTAAAATGACTCATAATAACAGATCANGAGCAGACCCATCTCCTTCATCAAGAACTTGGTAACAAACAAATCAAGAACAAAAAGGGCAAAAGCAAGTTACTTTTTTCCCCCGTTTTACCTCAATGGGTTTCCTTGGTTGAAAGCAAAGCTAGAGTTAACAATCATTGCAACCCAAAAAGCAATGAACACCACCAAAAACGCCACATCCCTGCATTTCCTGTTGTGCTTTATGATATCGCCGCTATTCCCATTCCCATTTTCACCATTCACTTCGCTCGAAGACGGATATTTACCTATCACAGGCCCCAACGGACCTCTCATTTTTTCCCCCTTTTTTTCAGCTCGTTCTGTGTGAGCCTACGAGGGTTTTAAGAGAGAGAAAGGGACAAGCAGCGAATGGGACCTGTGTGAAGAGAGAGAAAGTCGAAGGAGAAAGAAAAAAAGGAAAGATCTTGGCTGTGAGGAGACGGGGGGGAAAAGAGAGTAGCAAAAGGGAGTGAAGGGGACAAGAGTCTATTCTTTTTATTTGTTTTTCTATGCAGATTTTTTTAAAGTAATAATGTGCTTATAATTTTTGCTGAAAAAAGACAGCTTTATTTATTTATTTATTCTTTTGCAAGTGACAGCTTTTTTTATTGATAGTGGTAAGAAGGATTTATTCGAATTTGGTATCAAATTAGGCACTATTATCCAGATATGTTAACAAAATTAAGAGAATTTGTAAAATCTCAATGGCATGCCATATCATATGAAGGGACTTTTTTTTTTTCGGTTTCTTCTTTTATCCCACTCTACTTTATAATTTTATTAAGTTTCTTATTTTGTCAGTTGTTATGGTATTTATTGAGACTTGAGACCATAAACTGAGAAGTGATTATAATTGCATTTAATTAATAATCCCATTTTGGTGATGTAATTGAGACATGTAATTAGGAATGTAAATAAGCTGAGCATATTTCGAGCTCTTGATACTCCAGCTAGACTTTTTTTATTAATATTAACAAAGTGAATTATAAAAGATTACATAAAAAAATTCATGTTTTTCATCCTTATCTATACAAATTTAAATAAAATGAGTCTTGAGCTCGACTCATCAAATAAGAAGCTTATTTCGTTTTATAGTCTACCCATAATCACATTGCACCATGTTTAATTTTCTATTTAAATAATTTCATATATAAATTGTTGATATATTAGCAGTTCATTATTCATGGAATGCTTTCACCACATAAGGGTAGAATATGACAAAATTTATCCTTGGTATATTAGGTAGACAAGTTGCAAATAATTTTTGGATTGATAGTTTTTTAAATATTTACCATCCTTTTTTATTAGAGAAACCGAACACAAATAACTTTGTAGGTAGTCTAGAGCACGACAACATATTATAAAAACTTCAAAGTTAACCAACAAATATTACAAAAACTCAGTATAAATTAATCCACTCACCCTAGTTGATAGCTTGTTTGCTCTATAATTAAGCAAACGTGCTATTTAATGGAAACTTCTAATTAAAGTAATTGAGAAAAAAAAAGCTAAAACTTCGCATTTTGTAATAATTCTCTTATGTATATCAATATCATTAACAATAATATATTTACACTTTGCAATAACCAGCATGTGAATTGGAATTTTATATAACCCGAATAATTGGTTTGGATCTTATCGTTGACTGATAGTGGACTTTTAATTCCAGAAGCAAACTTATGTTACATTGGTCCTTGTAGATTTTTTCTAGATCATTCACCAACCATTTTTTTATCAACTGGCCCGTGAGCGTTGGGCTTAAAGGCCTTTTCGTTTATATTACTAATAATTTCCCAGCAGGCCCATTAAAACTAACGAACGCGGGTCGTTGGTAACCCGACCCGGAACACCTAATAAACCCCCTTCAGGAACCCCAAGCTCAGTGGATTCTAGCTCGAGTTTGCGGGTGAAAAAGTACGACCACCATCGCCGCCGCCTACCGCCTGCCGCCGTTAGTTTCTTTCTTGTTTCTATTTCGTTTTATTTTACCTTTTGTTGTTTCTTGACTACCGTCCCTGTTCATTGTTCATATAGGTAAAAGATTCAGTCTAACCAAATGCAGGAAACCACCATTCTCGCTGATTTCATCGCTCGATCTCTGAAAAAATGGCTACGGTGACTTCTTTAACCATTTACTCGAGGCGTTATCGTTTTCTTTAACAATTTCAAGTTTCAAGTAAGGGCGTGGCTTGAGTAATGTGAACGTACAACTTGTATTGTTACATAAAGATGTATCTATGAGTTGGAGTTTGGAGAGCTCCAAAACCATCCGACCGACCCGGTGCAGATCCGAATCGCAAGAGTCTTCTCTTCCCCTGAAGTTGGAGTGTCATGTTTCGTCGGGCATGTTAACTCTACAGTTACCCTTAATAACAACAAAAATGCCACTCCTCTTAACTTTCTTTTCACCTTTTAGTATTCCGACTCCTCGTTTTTATAAGCTAAGTTAGCTAACTCTGCTTTTAAATGGCCGACAGTGAAAATTTGCTAAGAAAAAAAGGTGGAGCCTTTCAGATTTTCGTGAAGCTGCTGGTCAGATTTCTCGAGTGCTTTTCCCAATTTTCATATTCTAATAATAATATGCTTACTTACTCTGTGCACACCATTTTCATATTCTGAATCACTCATGGTTTTGGTTTGAAGCAATTGAATGTCATTAGGTGAGAGAGAACAAGACAAATGAGTCGAAAGAGAAGTAAGCTTCCAATCGATAGGCTCAGCAGCTTGCCAGATGGAGTCATATGCCACGTTCTCTCCTTCCTCCCGACACAGCTCTCTGTGTCAACATGCGTTCTTGCTAAAAGATGGAGGTTCTTGTGGGCCCACGTCCCCGTTTGGTATTTCCATGGAGACATGTATTCTTCAGACGTGATCCACAGGGTTATGCTGCGGCACAAGGCAAAAACAATACATACTCTTCGGATCACGAGTATAGAAGATGAGATAAATGAGTATAAACTGGAGACATGGGTCACCACTGCCATGGAGCGTAACATTCGGAATCTTCGTATTTGTTTTGGCTATGGAAGTATTGCTTTATTGCATCAAGCCCTCTTCACCTGCAAGACCATGGTCGACATGAGGCTCGACAACGCCGAAGTCTTCTCTTCAACTGGGGACATATGTTTGCCTAGCCTCAAGAAACTTCATCTTTCTGAAGTTGAGTTTGAGGATGATGAAGCTCTTCCGCACTTGCTTTCTGGTTGTCCTTTGCTCCAGGAGTTGATCCTCGATTATGCGGTCAGAGAAGGAAACATCCTGGGATGTATTAATATATCATCATTGACTATAAAAAGGCTTGAGTTGAGTTTTCAAATTTGTTCTATGTTTGTCCCGAAGGACATGAACTATAAGATTTTAATAGATGCACCGGCAGTTAGATGTCTCCGTGTTGGTAAATGTTATTTGGGGTGCACCACAATTCCAGTAGATTTGACCTCCTTAGTTGAGGTGGACATACAATGTTATGTGTGGGGGGGGCGACAAAAATGACCATTCAAATTTGGTCGAGTTTTCTAATCATTTGCGTCAAATCCGGTGCTTAAAGATATCATGCCATCATTACCTGAAGGTATGTTGTGACTTTTTGTCATCTCATTCACTGTTAAAGCGTCTCATCTTGTTCTTGAGTTAAATTTCTATTGCAGGTTATTATTGACAGAGTTGTTGGTTCGATTGTAAAGTTTAATAATTTGACGAAACTTGAACTCCAATTGGTTGTTGAATGGCATTTGCTCGTAGAGTTTCTTGAAGTTGCTGATAATCTTGAAGTCCTTATTGTAAGTGGAGTTTGCCAATGCATTGAAATTTGGTTTTAGCTGTTTCTCTTTTCTTACTAAATTAGCTTCCTTCTTTTACTGTCATCAGGCTGATGTAAAAATTCATAATTCCTATACCGAGCCGAAACAAGTGCCTAAATGCCTACTGTCATCTCTAAAAACTGTAACAATTAAGCAACAAGGTTTTGAAGAGCATGAACTTGAGCTGGTGCGTTATCTTTTGAGGAATTCTCAAGTACTGGAGAGAATGGAAATATTACCTCCGAAAGATAGATCAACTTCGACTCGAGTGGTTTTCATGAAAACGGTATCACGGCTGCATACAAAGCGCTTCAGAGAATTTCGTTGTTTGAGCGAGGATCCAAGTTATGTCAGCTTGCCTTCTGTTTAGATTGTTGAGTGTTTGGACTGAACAGGTTTTTGGGCAGTGATCTTAGGTTATTATTCTTAATATATTTTTAACAGCTGAATGTTCCTTGGGTGATGTAAACTCTTTTTCACTTGTATGGCAAGACTGAATTTGTGTGATGATGCAAGAACTTGTTATGATATGAAAGTGCAAGAATTTGGACTGAACTCTTACATTTGTGCATAAGAGTCGAAGCAAATGATGGTGCTGCATATAGAATGCAATAAATATTTTGTTGGAAAAGTATGATGAACATGTCTTTTAGACCGCTCATATAAAAATTTGTGGTTTAGAATTCATACTCCGTTTGCGTGTGTGTACAAATTATTGGTATTCCTTTTGTTAGATAGTCTAAACATTTGGGGGACAAACATATTTTACGAATATGAATAATTTCGTTAGAAAATGCAATACTCTAAAAATCAACATAAACGAAAATATTAATTTGCTAATTTAAGTACATATTTTTATTCAGATAGTATGCTAATGTTAAACTACTTAACACAAGATTTTGTAACTAGACATGGCCAACGGTTCGACCCACTACCAACCTGCTAGACTCAATCTATTTACTCGACCCGTTGATCATTAGTCAGGGGCCAACCCCATAAACATGCTCCGTGTTTCTCCATCTTAGTTTCGGGCATAATATATTAATTTTTGACCTGTTGGTTTTGGCCCGACCCAGAGGGTAAGATATTCTACACTGATTGAAAAATGTATAATTCATTGAAAAATAATAATTATAAATAAATTAGCCGACCCAAAATCAAGTCCACCAAATTTAAGAACGAAAACCGTACTTCCAACATATTGGGCCTGGAGAACCATCAGGTCAGGCCCCGAACTAACAGGCTGGGCCAATTGGAAATGTTACTAGTTGATAGTCGGGCTCATCTTGTCTGGGCCGGTACAAGGCCCAATATATCAATTTTCTGTTGTTGAGAATCGGTTGTTTGCCCCATTTTAAAATGTTTTGGTAACTTCTGCCTTGGCTTCAATTTTCTGATCGTCAGTACAGTTGGCCCCAAATTGGGAAAATTAGCTTCTACAGATTTATTTTTTTTTGGTTAATTAGCTTCTACAGATTGGGGGGTTGATTTTGGAAATATTGTTTCAAGATCAAGGCAAACATGTCATATTGTTTTTATCAATGCTACTTAATATAAAAAGGAAAAAAACACAAGTTAAAAATATATCTACCACAGTACAAAAAGGGTTCCTCGCCAGAGTAGATGTAGGATATGCATATATAAAAAACAGCGTTTGCATCCCGAAACGGACGATATCTAATCCCGTCCATTGTATTAAACGAACCCTTACCCTACAATTTAAGGTTTTCGTGAAGCTGCTGGTAAGATTTCCCCTGTGCTTTTCCCTAATTTTCATATTTTAAGTTTAGGATTGTTATGTGCACACCATTGATAAAGGTCTCTTAAATCACACATGGTTTTTGGTTTGAAATTCTGAGAATATTGTGAGGGGTTCGTAACAAAAAATCCTGTTTGTGTAAAGTCCGATCGAATTTTCATGGAGAGAACAAGTAAAATGATTGGAAAGAGTCGTAATCTTTCAATCGATAGGCTGAGCAGGTTGCCAGACGAAGTCATATGCCACATTCTCTCCTTCCTCCCCACAAAGCTCTCTCTGTCAACATGTGTTCTCGCGAAAAGATGGAGGTTTTTGTGGGCCCACGTACCCGTTTGGGATTTCAAAGGAAATTTTGATGGAGTAGAATTTGTCGAAGATGAAACACCAAATCCAGACGTGATTCACAGGGTTATTCTGTGGCACAAGGCCAAAACAGTGCGTACTCTTCGGCTCCGCCATATAGACTGCAACAAGTATCAACTAGAGACATGGATCTCCACTGCTATTGGGCGTAAAATACAGAATCTCTATCTCGACTTTGTCTACACAAAAATTGTTAAGTTGCATAGACCCCTCTTCAACTGCAAAACCGTGGTTGACATGAAGCTCGGTAACTGCAGAGGCTTCTCTTCAACTGGGGACATATGTTTGCCTAGCCTTAAGAAACTTCATCTTCATTATGTTGAGTATGAGGATGATGATGCCCTTCCGCACTTGCTTTCCAGCTGTCCTTTGCTTCAGGAGTTGATCCTCGATTGCCCCGATGAAGAAACTGATACGAACTTCTTGAATGTGTCATCATCCACAATAAAAATGCTTGAGGTGAATTTTGGAGTTGACGTTTCCTTCTATGCAAACACGCCAGCACTTAGATGTCTCCGTATGGTTGATTGTGATTGGAATTTCTCCGCAATTCCAATAGAAATGTTCTCCTTAGTTGAGGTGTACATCCGTTTTGATCATTGTGAAGACTTCCACATTGACAACAATGACAGCTCCAATGTTTTAGAGGGTTTTAATCGTCTGCGCAACATCAGGTGCCTAAAGATATCAAGCTGTAGATACCTGAAGGTATGTTGTCGTTTATCTCTCATCTTATTCTCTCTTCAAGCATCCCGTCTTGTTCTTGAGCTGATTTTTCTTTTGCAGGTTATTGGCGGCATTGTTGGTCCAAGAGTGAAGTTTAATAATTTAACCAAACTTGAACTCCGATTGGGTGTTAAATGGCATTTCCTTGTGGAATTTCTTGAAGTTGCTGATAATCTTCAAGTCCTTATTGTAACTAGAGTTTGCCAATACAAGGATTTTTATCGTGATGTAGGAATTCGTAATTCTTGTATGGAGCCAAAACAAGTGCCTAAATGCCTACTATCGTCTCTTAGAACAATCACAATTAAGGAACCAAGGTTTGAAGACTATGAACTTGACCTGGTGCGTTATCTTTTGAGGAATTCCAGAGTACTTGAGAGAATGGAAATATTAGCCCCGAGAGATGGATCAACTTCGACTTCGGCATTCAAAGCGCTTCAGAAAATTGCATTGTTTGAGCGAGGATCCAAGACATGTCAGCTTGCTTTTTGTTTGAGTGAGGATCCAAGACATGTCAGCTTGGTTTTTTCTTCAGATTGTTGAGTCCAATTATTGGACTCAACTGGTTTTGAACAGTGATCTTAGGTTATTTAACTGAGTGTTCCCTTGGTGCTGTAATAACTCTTTTTCATTTGTATGACAAGGCTGAATTTGTGTGATGATTCATGAACTTGTTAGTATGATATGAAAGTGCGTCGAACCTATATTTGTGCATAAGAGTCGAGCAAATGATATATATATATATATATATATATATATATATATATTAATAAATACGGATTAGTTCAAATGCGGCCGCCTTTTTAAAGTGAGGACGTGAGACTCATTTTTAACCACAAAATTTAGTACATTATGTGTGGTCAAGATTTACTCTTTTCTTTTTATTATTTTGATTATTTAAATATTATTTTGACCTGTTGACTCCGGCGTTGATAGTTGACTTCCGGCATTGACTTCCGGCGTTGACTCCATCGTTGACTGTTGACAAATAACCTTCCAACTAGGTTAGTTCTCTGTAGTTGTTAGGTTTTTTTTTACTCAAAATAAGTTAAATTTGTCCAGGAATTTCGAGCTATTCAAAATACGGGGGTTTTACATTAAATCAATGAATTATATATTTAAACGCGATTGTAGTTTCTTTCCACTTTTCTTTTTAGATTATTATGCCTCTTGTCTTTCTTGCATTTATTTTTTACTATTTGATTATATAGATTTTATATAAAAAAAAATTATTCAAGAAAATATTTGATTGTGTTAGGACTGAATTTATAGATTTTATAATCAAGTTTATATATTCACTGAATTTTTAAATAAATAATAGTTGATTATATGAAATTAACATTAAATCTCATTTATTTATTTGAAAAATTAAATGAAATGACATTTGTACTTTAATGACATGACATATAACAAGAATGACGGAACTATTACACTATTTATAGTAGTTTTTTGAATAAATTATATTTTTTTAATTAAAATTCAAGTACATGAGAAAATTTATCTTTGTAATTTTTTAAGAAAAAATGATGCAACAATTCAAAATAAAATATTTGGCATATGTATAAGAAAATAGTTAAAAATTCACAAGTTTTTATTCAAGGAGAGTCATTTACATATAAAACACGACTAGTTAGAAAATATAATAATATTTATATTTACTGTGTCATTCAGGTAATTTATATTAATTTTAAAAATTATTTTCATACTTTGACTGTTAAAGATGTGTCTAGCTAGATTTTTCAAATTGAGTATTTCAAGTTTGCACTCGTGCTCATTTCATAAACAAGTTGTCGTGCCTTAGCCGTTTAATAAACAAATAAAAATTTGACCTTGAGTTCGACTCGTATAAACTCAGTTCAATTCATTTAATAAACCTAAAAACGTAGAACAAAACCCAAAAATCTAATGAATTGTTTGTGAACACACCCGACTTGACTTGTTTGATAGACAAGCTTGATTAATTATTCGATTTCGACTTGTTTAAATATACAAGAAAATCAAACTCGAACATTTAAGTCGGAACAAACTATGTTAGAGAACAACTCTGTTCGAAGAGCAACAACTTATTTTATAGCTCACTGTGAAAATTTTTTCTGACTGCGCGCGTAATATATTAAATTCCGACCTGTTGGTTCTAGCCCCGGCTAAAAGAAATTCTACTATTTGAATTGAAAAATATATTTTAATTGAATAATAACAATAATAAATAAACAAGCCGACCAAAAATCAAGTCCGCCAAATTTAAGAACCAAAACCATACTTCCAACATATTGGGCCTGGAGAAGCATCAGGTGTGGCGCCGAACTAACGGGCTGGGGCAATTGGAAGTATCTATCAGTTGATAGTCGGGCTCAGCCCATCGATCACGGGTGACAGTGGCCCGCCTTGGAACAGGTCGGTGTTCGTCCGTGCAGGTTCAAGGCATTAAAATGCTCTACCCTCCGTCTCTCACACTTACCCCAATTTAACTGGCCAACTGCCGAAAAATAATAGGAAACGGTTCACCTTTCAGATTTTCGTGAAGCTGCTGGTAAGATTTCACATGTGCTTTTCCTAGTTTTCATATTTTAATTTCACGATTTTTACGAAGGTACTCCATACTCTTCTCTATCTAGGGTTTTTATTTTTTTATATATGTGAGTTGGTGATTGATTCAATTTGATATTTTTGTTTGATTTCTTCAGTGCCTGATTCCATCCATCTTTCATAATTTTTCATAGTTTATATATCAGTTTTGTCTTCTGTATGCGTGAGACAGCCAAAGTTATGCGGATTGCGGAGTTTTTTTGGAGCTTTTAATTAATGTAGATGATAGCTACGAAATTCTTGTTTTCGGAGCTTAATTAATGTAGATGATAGATACAAAATTCTTGAATTGATTGGGCTGAAGGCTTGCTTTTGAATTTTTTTTATTAATTTTTCATTATGAGTTATTTATTTATGCGAAGTGCAATAATATTAACTAATGTTTATTATTATTTATTAATCTTGTAGGCACTAGGCACCATGTATCACATGAAACTGAACTCATTATTGTTGTTAAAGAAAGAAAATCATTGAGGCTTTTTAACTAATGTTTATTATTATTTATTAATCTTGTAGGCACTAGGCACCATGTATCGCATGAAACTGAACTCATTATTTTTGTTAAAGAAAGAAAATCACTGAGTATGATGTTTATATTCATGTGTTACTGCTTTAGTTTTCATATTTTAATTTTTAGGATTATTTTGTGCACACCATTGATAAAAGCCTCTTAAATCACACGTGGTTCTTGGTTTAAAACTCTGAGAATATTGTCAGGGGTTCGTAACAAAAAATCCAGCTTGTGTAAAGTCCGATCGAATTTTGATGGAGAGAACAAGTAAACTGAGTGGAAAGAGTCGTAAGATTTCAATTGATAGGCTTAGTGGGTTGCCAGACGAAGTCATATGCCACATTCTCTCCTTTCTCTCCACAAAGCTCTCTGTGTCAACAACTCAACATGTGTTCTCGCGAAAAGATGGAGGTTTTTGTGAGCCCACGTCCCCGTTTGGGATTTCAAAGGAAAATTTGATGGAGTAGAATTTGTGGAAGATGAAACACCAAATCCAGACGTGATTTACAGGGTTATTCTGTGGCACAAGGCGAAAACAATGCGTACACTTCGGCTCCGCCATATAAACTGCAATGAGTATCAACTGGAGACATGGATCTCCACTGCCATTGAGCGTAAAATACAGAATATTTATCTCGACTCTGTCTATGAAAATATTTTTGAGTTGCATAGACCCCTCTTCAACTGCCTACTATCTTCTCTAAAAACAAGTTCCTAAATGCCTACTATCTTCTCTAAAAACTATAACAATTAGGCAACAAGGTTTTGAAGAGCATGAACTTGAGCTGGTGCGTTATCTTTTGAGAAATTCTCAAGTACTGGAGAGAATGGAAGTATTATCTCCGAAAGATAGATCAACTTCGACTTCCAGTGGTTTTCATGAAAACGGTTTCACAGCTGCATACAAAGCTCTTCAGAGAATTTCGTTGTTTGAGCGAGGATCCAAGTCATGTCAGCTTGCCTTCTGTTTAGATTGCCGAGTGATTGGACTAAACAGGTTTCTAGGCAGTGATCTTTGGTTATTATTATTGTTAATATCTATATTTAATAGTTGAATGTTCCTTTGGTGATGTAATAACTCTTTTTCACTTGTATGACAAGACTTAATTTGTGTGATGATTCATGAACTTGTTAGTATGATATGAAAGTGCAAGAATTTGACTGAACTCTTGCATTTGTTTAGAGCGAATGGTGGCGTATATATAGAATGTATTTAGGGTGGTGGATTGGCCGATGATATTTTATTGTGTATATAAATTTTGTTAGAAAAGTATGATCTAACAATTCAACATGTCTACAGACCTTCCAAGTAAGAATATGTGGTTTAGATATTTCATTTGCATGTATCCTCAAATTATTGGAATGTCTTTTGTTAGATTAGTCTAACCATTTGTCGGACAAATAAATTTTATAACTATGGATAATTTCATTATAAAATGTTATTCTAAAAAAAACATAAAAAGTATTAATTTCTTAAGTTAAGTACGTATATTTGTTCATAGTATGAAGGGTTGACTACCTAATGGTTTGACTATATAATACAAAAATTTGTGAGTAAACATGGCAAACGGTTCTGACGCGCTCCCAACCCGCCGAACTCAACCCATTGACCATGGGTCAATGGCCAGCTCCAGAGGTCAATGGCCAGCCCCAGAATCACGCCCAGTGGTACATGCCTTGGTTTCAGGCCTAACATTAATTTTCGAACTGTTATTCTAAAATTTTAATTGCCAAATATATTTTAGTTGAAATTAAATAAATAAATGAGCTGACCCAGAATCAAGGCCGCCAATTTAAGAACCAGAATTGTACTTTCCCCTGCCGGTTTGGGTTCCAATATATTGGGCCCGGGGACCCAGTAGGTCGGGCCCAGAACCGACCGACCGGCCCAATTGTACACATATCTATCTACTCGTTGATAGTTGGGCTCAGCTTGTTGACCACGGGCGTCTGCCGGTTCAGGGCCCAGAACTGACGGGCTGGAACCGGGCCTGGCAGCCGTTTCAGGGCTTAGTTTTCGACCCTTCGTCCCTACACACATACACGTACCCTGCAATTTAACTGGCCAACTGCGAAAATTATTTTAATAGGAAATGGGGATACCTTTCAGATTTTCGTGAAGCTGCTGGTAAGTTTTCCCTAATTTTTATACCGAAAAAAAATATATATATATGTTCCCTAATTTTTCATATTTTAATTTTAGGATTATTCTGTGCACGCCATTGATAAAAAGCCTCTTAAATCACACATTGTTTTTGGTTTGAAACTCTGAGAATATTGTCAGGGGTTCGTAGCAAAAAATCCTGTTTGTGTAAAGTCCGATCGAATTTTCATGGAGAGAACAACCTGCGTTATTGATAGGTTCAGCATGTTGCCAGACGAAGTCATATGCCACATTCTCTCCTTCCTCCCGACAAAGCTCTCTGTGTCAACCTGCGTTATCGCTAAAAGATGGAGATTTTTGTGGGCAGACGTCCCCGTTTGGGATTTCGAAGGAGATCCTTTCAGAAGCAAAACACCTAATTCAGACTTCTTCTACAGGGTTACTCTATTGCACAAACCGAGAAGATTGCATACTCTTCGGCTCAAAAATCTACAGGTCAATGAGTATCAACTGGAGACATGGATCTCCACTGCCATTGAGCATAAAATACGGAATTTTAATCTCGATTTTGTTTATCCAAGTATTGCTTTGTTGCATCAGACCCTCTTCAACTACGAAGCCGTGGTTGGCATGAGGCTCGCGAACTGCAAGGGCTTCTCTTCAACTGGGGACATATGTTTGCCTAGCCTCAAGAAACTTCATCTTTCTAAAGTTGGGTATGAGGATGATAAAGCACTTCCGCACTTGCTTTCCGGCTGTCCTGTGCTCCAGGAGTTGATTCTCGATTGCTTGGATACTGAAAATGATATGAGATTCTTTAATATATCATCATCTACCATAAAAGTGCTTGAGGTGAATCGCCTAATAATTTTTATGGAGCATCCCTTTTGGATTTTAGCAAATGCACCAGCACTTAGATGTCTCCGTTTGGTCGATTGTGATATAGATCGCATCACAATTCCAATGGATATGGCCTCCTTAGTTGAGGTGGCCATACGTTTTAAATATCCTCGTGTCTTTAATATTTACGACATTGACAGCTCCATTGTGGTACAGTGTTTTAATCGTTTGCGCAACATCAGTTGCCTAAGGATATCAAGCCGTAAATACCTCACGGTATGTTGTCATTTATCTGTTATCTAATACTCTTTTCAAGCAACCCGTCTTGTTCTTGAGTTGATTTTTCTTTTGCAGTTTATTGGCGGCATTGTTGGTTCAACCGTAAAGTTTAATAATTTAACCCAACTCGAACTCCAATTGGGTGTTGAATGGCATTTGCTTGTAGAGTTTCTTGAAGTTGCTGATAATCTTCAAGTCCTTATTGTAAGTGGAGTTTGCCAATGCATTGAAGTTTGTCTTTTTAGCTGTTTACCTTTTCTTACTGCAATAGCTTCCTTCTTTTGTTGTCATTAGGCTGATGTTTACATTCCTAAGTCATGTATGGAGCCGAAACAAGTGCCTAAATGCCTACAATCATCTCTAAAGACTATAACAATTAAGATTGACAAAGGCATCGGGAAGTATTTGCCAACTGGTTTTGAAGAGCATGAACTTGACCTGGTGCGTTATCTTTTGATGAATTCTCACGTACTGGAGAGAATGGAAATATTATCCCAAATAGTCAGATCAAATTGTACTTGGAGACTTTTTCATGTAAATGATCTCACTGCAGTATTCAAATCGCTTCGGAGAATTTCATTGTTTGAGCGAGGATCCCAGGCATGTCAGATTGCCTTCTTTTGAGATTGTTGAGAGATTGGACTGAATATGTTTTGGGCAGTGACCTTAGGTTATTATTCTTAATATATATATATTATTCTTAATGTTCCTTTGGTGTTGTAATCTCTTGGTGGGATATCTTTTGAGGAGTGGAGAATGCATTTAGCGAGGTGGGATATCTTTTGAAGAGTGGTTGAGTGATTGATGACATTTTATAATATAAATATATATTTCTGTTAAGAAAGTATGACGGGTCGACCTGTCTAATGAGGAGACTGCTCACACAAGAATTTATATTTTTTAGATATTCACACTTCATTTGCATCTATGTACAAATTATCGGTATGTTTTTTGATAGATTAGTCTAACCATTTGGACGACAAACTTATTTTATAAATATGCACAATTTAATTAGAAAATTTCATACTTAAAAAAAAGTATTAATTTACTAATTTAAATACATATTCTTCTTTATATAGTATGACGGAATAATGCTTCTAATATTTAGACTACCAAACATAAGAATTTGTGGCTACACATGCCAATGGTTCTACCCGCTCCCAACTTGTCAGACTCAACCCATTCACCATTGGTTCAACCCGTTGACCAACGGCATGTTTGACCCCATATTTTCAAGATGGGCTAGATGTTTTATTAACCGGCGCTGATCTAGGTTAAGACACTAACTCGCTCCAACTCGACCTGTTCTGATCCGAATCGAATTTGTAGTATTATATTTAATATATTCTATGTAATTTATATATTTTAATGATATAATTATATTATTATATATAAATTATAATAGCAATTTTTAAAATAAAAAATAAGAAAAAAAAATAATGGTGTGAGGCGTGTCGGCCCAGCTCAAAACGGGCCAAGTCAAGGGTCCACTGTGGGTAACGAGTCAGGCCGACCTGGTCAACTGTCATCTTTGATCCCAATTTAGTGGCCCGCCCCAAAATCAAGCCCGGAGCCGGCTGTCCAGCTCGATTTCGAGCCTAATATATTAATTTTCGACTTGCAGGTTCCAGCCCGATCCAAAGGGTAAAAAAAAAAATCTAAGAATTGAAAAATATATTTTAATTGAAAAAATAATATTAGATAAATGAGCTGACCAGAATGGAGCAGCCAAATTTCAAGAACCAAAACCGTAGAGCATGTTTGTTTATGAAAATTTTTGGTTTTGTTTAGAATTTTTAGTTTGGTTTGGTTAATTTTGAAAAGGTGGTATGGTTAGATGTTAGTGAGTATATTAAAATATTATTTAAAATAAAATAATTAAAATTGATTTGATGTAAAAGTATGAGAGAGATGATTTGAAATGATGGTTAGTTAAAATAATGTAAGTGGATGAATAGTAAATTAAGGTTGATGTGGTGTGTATGATTGATTGATTGATATTATTTAATTATATTGATAATATTGATGATAGTGGAGTTGAATTAAAGTTGAATTAAAAAAAATGATTAAGTTAAAATGTTGGAAATTTTTTGAAAAAAAATTATAAACAATACTTCCCCCAGCCGGTTCTGATGCCAACAAATTGGGCCTGGGCCGATATGCCTACCCTTGATAGTCGGGCTCAACACTTAGCCCATAGGAAAAAGGGAACCTTCCGGATTTTCCCATGTGCTTTCCCTAATTCTTGTTTTAATTTTATGATGATTATGATTATTCTGCCTATAAATCACACAGTTTTTGGTTTGAAACACCGAATACTATCATACTATCAAGGTTCGTAAGAAAATCCTGTTTGTGCAAAGTCCAATCGAATTTTCATGGAGAGAACAAGTAAAAGGAGTGGAAAGAGTCGTAAGCTTTCAATCGATAGACTCAGCAGGTTGCCAGACGACGTCATATGCCATATTCTTTCCTTCCTCCCGACAAAGCTCTCCGTGTCAACCTGCGTACTCGCTAAAAGATGGAGTTTTTTGTGGGCCCACGTCCCCGTTTGGGATTTCGAAGCAGAATTTTTCGGAGACGAAACACAAAATCCAGACGTGATCTACAGGGTTATTCTGTGGCACAAGGCAAAAACAATGCATACTCTTGGGCTCTGCCGTATAGACTGCAATGAGTATCAACTGCAGACATGGATCTCCACTGCCATTAGGCGTAAAATACGGAATATTTATCTCGACTTTGTCTATACAGAAACTGTTAAGTTGCATAGACCCCTCTTCAACTGCAAAACCGTGGTTGATATGAGGCTCGGTAACTGCAAAGGCTTCTCTTCAACTGGGGACATATGTTTGCCTAGCCTAAAAAAACTTCATCTTTCTAGAGTTGAGTATGAGGATGATAAAGCCCTTCCGCACTTTCTTTCCGGCTGTCCTTTGCTCCAGGAGTTGATCCTCGATTGCGAGGATGTTGAAAATTGTTTGAGATTCTTTAATATATCATCATCCACCATAAAAATGCTTGAGGTGAATATCGTAACTGATTGCCAGCGTGTCCCCGACATTAGGTTCTTTACAAATGCGCCAGCACTTAGATGTCTCCGTATGGTTGTTTGTGATTTGGATTGCATCACATTTTCAAAAGCTGTGGCCTCCTTAGTTGAGGTGGACATATGCTTTACAGATTGTTATGATTGGAGATGGAGTGTTGACTACAGTGACAACTTAAGTGTGGTAGAGTTTTTTAATCTTTTGCGTAAAATCAGGATTTTAAGGATATCAAGCCGTAAAGACCTGAAGGTATGTTTTGATTTCTGGTCATCTCATTCTCTCCTAATGCCCAGAGCATCCTGTCTTGTTATTGAGTTGAGTTTTCTTTTGCAGATTATTGACGGCATTGTTGGTTCAGCCGTAAAGTTTAATAATTTGACCAAACTTGAACTCCGATTGGTTGTTGAATGGTATTTTCTCGTAGAGTTTCTTGGAGTTGCTGATAATCTGCAAGTCCTTATTGTAAGTGGAGTTTTGCCAATGCATTGAAGTTTGTCTTTAGTTGTTTCTCTTTTCTTACTTCAATAGCTTCCTTCTTCTTTTGCTGTCATCAGGCTGATGTAGAAATTCGTAACTCTTGTATGGAGCCGAAACAAGTGCCTAAATGCCTACTATCGTCTCTAAAGACAATAACAATTAAGCAACCGGGTTTCGAAGAGCATGAACTTGATCTTGTGCGTTATCTTTTGAGGAATTCTCAAGTACTGGAGAGAATGGAAATATTGCCCCAAATCATATCGACTTGGAGTTCGAGTTGTTTCTCGGATCTCACTGCAGCATTCAAAGCGCTTCAGAGAATTGCATTGTTTGAGCGAGGATCCAAGGCATGTCAGCTTGCCTTCTTTTTAGATTGTTGAGTGATTGGATTGAGCATGTTAATGGGCAGTGATCTTAGGTTACTATTCAGAATGAAATGGTTGAGTTTTTTGTGTTGAGTTTGTGCTCAATTTTTTCTTGTCTGACTATATAGAAAAATGGTCAGTCGTTTAACTTGAACTTGCACGCTATATCCTTTATAAAAACTTGTTTTGCATTCTCAATTTTATTTAGTCATATGTTTGTGAAATTTTTTTTTCATGTTTGAACTGTATTGGGAAGTTAATTTCTGCCATTTCCAAAGAAATACTTGATTTTGATGGAGAATGAAAATGTGCTAAGGTTCAGCTAAATGCAATATGGGACAAAAGGGAGTTCGAGAATTGCTTCAGGGTGTTCTAAAAATAACTAATTTGTTCTTTGCTCTGACACGCACACAAACAGTCCCAAATCAACTCTAAATTTAGTGGGTGTTGGCCTAAGCAGGCTATTAAATGGTCATTTATTGACATTTCTAAAGTTTAAAAATTAAAGTACAAGCATTAGATTGTAAACATTCATAACATTTAGTTTTGAATATTCCTACATAACTTTAATTTAACTACATTAATTAAAAAATAAACAAAAATTTGCCCAGATGGCATTGTGGCTGAATTCGGAACAATTGATTTCACCGGTGAGACCCAACATTCGGACATCATCTGCGGTATTTTTCTTAAACATGAGGAGACGAAGTGCCCCAGTCTTTCTGGCTACCTCTCGCTCGTGGAGTTGATCGTGATTTATATGTTTATGGAAGATGGAAAAAATCTAGACTGTTAATATATCTTTGCCCGCGTTGAAAACACTCGAGATCAATCTTCGGCATTATTTGCCGAGATATCCCTGTCTACAGGATTTTATAAATGCAGGTGATTTCTACTCGAATGTCGATTTCTTAGCTGAGGCATGGATCTTCTTTGAAGTTGCTTTCTACTCGAATGTTTGCAGCAGTAGCAATTCCGAAGCTGTAAAATATCTTAATTGTCTCTGTAAAGTCGAGTGCCTGAATGTATCAAGTTTCAAACACGAGGAGGTATGCTGTGATTTCTTGTCGTCTTAATCTCTCTTAGAGCCTCCACTCAATTGGTCTCCAATCAGCTTTGTTCTTATAAACATTGGTTTATAATACGTTCAGGTTATCAACATTGGAGTTTAGCAGGTTTAAGTTTTGGTGCAGTGATCATAAGTTGTTATTTTTAGTGCTGTAATAATGGTTTTGACTTGCTATCTGTTTTATACTACTTTGCAATGGCTAGAAATGAAGTTTGTGGTGATGGTGATTCGTTAGCTCGTATGAATTATATGTACCGCTGACTGGGATTTACACTGTGTAGATCTACTTCATGCAAGGTGACATTTTTTTGCCATTCGAGTTGTTAAAGATGCCGATTTTTCTTCTCAAGAGCGGTGAGGGTTTGAGAGGATTGGAATATCCAAGACATGTCAGCTTTCAATGACATCTCTAATGTGCACAGTGATAATTTGCTCTATTTCCAGTATATTGGTTGGATGAATAATACGTTCTTGGTAATTTCACAACTATACATGAACTTCTCTCTTCTCATGTTGGAATAAGTGATTTTTTTCCTGCATCCCTTCTCCTAAGATTGTGTTAAGATTGTGTTTTGACCATGGTATCAAATATAATAGTAAACTTTTGTCCATATCTTCGACACTAAAGGACCACGACTGACCACAAAAACTTCAGCTCGGCGGCGCCAAATTGACTAACTATGCAGATTTCGACTATAGGATAATTTCAGCATGTTGAGGAAATTTTGTATTCAGAGAAAGTTCGATACAAACTTCATTACATTAGAAGTTCAGCAACACTCGATATACATTAATTAATGAATTTATGAATTGATCCTCTTCATTTCATGCCTCATGTCTATCTTTTATCGCCCACAAAATAGTACAAAAACATAAGCAAGACAAAATGCATCGACCACAACAGTAAATGAACATTCACTTGAATAACATGCATTAAGACTTGTAACTTATGGCCACTGTCAAATCAAAAAACATTTCCAGTCAAGAGAAGGCAACCTGACACGTTGTCGAGCCTCTTTCGAAAAATGAGATTTTCTAACTAGCTTTTTTAAAAAGCTACTAAGGAAAGCTTATAATAAGTATACGAAAAACTTATAAAGCTAACAAAATAAGTTTTGTTTGGTTGAATATTGAACACATTAGTACAACATCCCTCATGAAAAGGCAAGCTCGCATTCCTTTGATCCTCGTTTAAACAATGCAATCTTTTGGAGCGCATTGAGCTTTTTCGCCAAGCCCAAATCAATCCCATTGGTCGTCGTGTGTACTTCCATCCTTCTCAAAACTTGGGCATTCTTTAAAAAATACCTCACCACGCTAAACTCGGGCTTCCTGCAATTAAATCCATTAATTCTTACCATTGCTAGACGAGATAACAGGCATCTTGGCACTTGTTCGGGCTCCTCCCAGATTTTGTTCTTCGAAATCACCTGATAAGAGCAGTCACCATATCAGACTCCAATACGAAAAAGCTACTGATGGAGGAGAATAAAAAAGAAACAGAAGCTAAAGGTTACATTTTTTAGCTTAACTAACCCTAAAGATGACTAGAATTTCAAGATTGTCAGCCCTCTCCAAGAATTTCATGAGAAAACGCAAATCGGAATCCAACTCAAGCCGGGTACAATTATCAAACATTGGAATTGATCTTATCCTGCAAGGCAACTGAAAACAGCCAGCATCAGTTATTAGTACAAATGCAGAGTATTAAAACATATTATCGCAAAGGTGACCAAGTTACCGGCACATTAATTGACAGTTTTAGCCTCTTCACTTTGCAGAGGCGATTGACAAAATCCAACACTGAAAGACGATAGGGCTCGTCCACATTACGAGAACGATAAAAAATGGAAATGTCAGCCTCAATTAAGGAAGTCAGTGCACAAGTTGATACATGAGAGGTTGTCCAAAGGTGTAGCTTTAGATACTCAAGTGCAGGAGCATTTATTCCCACCTCACGACTGCTTGCAAGTGACAGCAGAGAAGAAGAGAACTCGAGCCTTTCTATTGTGGCCGAAGAGATATAACAATCGTCAACAAAACATCCAGAAATGTAAAAATCATGAAGCACCGGGCAGTAAGAAAGCAGTTTAGGAAGGTTTTCAGCAGTTGCAGATCTAAAAATCAAGAGATGAAGCTTCTTGAGGCGACGGAAAGATATGTCCTCACCACTAAAACTTGGCAATGCACAATGTATGAGAGTCAACTCAACAAGGGTTTTGCATGTGAAGATGGCTTGAGGCAAAGCAGGCGAATGGGGCCTGGGGCAGAGAATGAGATTGTTGATATTCCGACCGGCGAACCACTTCTCGACTTTGTTCTCGTTTGCATGAAAATAGCTGCAATGGAAACATAAAGTGTTTATGCTCTGCAGTCTAGGATTAGACATAACAGTGTCGATGATGTTCCAGAATCTCGTCTCATTATAATGATTTATGCTGTCGAAATCAAGATTGGGGAAGTGGGCCCACATGAACCTCCATCTTGTAGAGAGGATGCTGGTCGACACGGAGATCTTGATCGGGAGAAACGAGAGAATGCGACTGATGATGTTATCAGGCAAGGCGCTTAGTCTGTCGACCCGTGGCATGCTTCCGGGTTCACAGCGACCTTTTCACAAACACTTGAAGGTCACAAGACCAGTAGTAAACTAACAGAGTTGTATCAGTGGCAATCGCTCAACAAGCATAAATAAATCGAATACAGAAATTGATGAATGTAACGTGGCGTGGTAGACTAATGAGAATACGATAGTAAAACTCACAAGATTTTTCTGAACAAGGGATAAATATATAGAGTCTAGGGCTCAATGATAACCTAACTTTTACTAAACAATATAAATCCCAAATAAATAAATATTCTCATATCTCCTTAAAATAAATAAGGAAAATAGTAATAAAGATAATAAAGGTAATAAAATATCATGCGAGCTTCGGCATCTGATCATATCTGTCTAGGAATGCGAATGCTATCTCGTCTCTATCACCACCCCATCACTTTTTTCCTGTGATCAATGGGCTGTTTTGAGTTGTACAATTCATTATTAAGAAACCCGGCACAATTTAAAAAGATAAAGTACAACTATTCAGCTCCTCAAAGTTCAACGAATGGCACCAGGAAATGAGATATGTAAAAACCAACACACACGTCAAATTCCACCCTAATGATTTCACTCAACAAAAATGATTCTAACAACATAAATAAATATGGTGACTGTTTTTAATTAGTGTAATTAAATTGATGGCTTTGTGACGCTTTTTAAAAAATGTTACAAAAATAAAACTATAGCAGCGTTTTTTTTTTAAATGTAATTAAATTAGTGTCACTTTTTAAAAAGTGTCACTGTGTTAACCAGTATTTAGACATTTATTTAAAAATGTAATGAAATTATAATATTTTATACAAGTATCGTCGTGTTTAATTATATGACGATATATTTTGAAAACTATATTAAAATAATAAAACATTTTTAGAAAATGTCACGAGTTTTACTGATATAACAACATTTACCTCAAAGTATAAGTATGTTACGACACTGGTACAATTTGCGTCGCCATTTTAAGCATATAACAACACTGAAGAAAAGCGTAATGATTTAGTTGGTGACATTATTATACAAGTGTCGCATTATGTTATTTTAAAAATGTTATTGAACTATGGCGCTTATACAAAAGTGTTATTCTTTTTTATTTATATGACAACGCTTCTCTAAAATTCGTGTTATTTAATAATATCATCGCTTTTATAAATGTGTCGCCTTATTTACCAACATAAATTCAATGGCTCTTTAAAAAATCAAACCTTAATAGTTGTGACCTTGTTTAATAAACGTTAACAAAATAACAATATAATGAAATGTTTTAGTAATTATAATTATGCAATGAATTTTCATTAAAAAAAAGTCATAGTAATAATTAATATAATGTTGTTTTTAAAAAAATAAAAATAAACTACAACTCATATACAAAAGTGTCGACTTCTTTTAATACTGATAAAATTTTAAAAGTACTTTTAATATAGATATATTTAGCATTATCCTTTTAAAACAAACTGCAAATAATTTGTTCCAAGTAGCTAGGTTTCTTAACGAACCGAATATTCCTAAACAAAAACTTATTTGAGCTCGTTCGTGTTCAATATGAGCTCATTCGTCTTTCGTTTATCAAGTCGAGATCGAACAGAAAACTAGGCTCGTTCAATAGTTGAACGAACACGAGCTTGTTCGAAAACATTTAATAATGTTCAAGACCATTGATTTAATATTAATTTATTTTTATATGTATATATATGATATTTTTAATAAAAAATAAATAAAATATTAATCAAATAATTTTAAAATATTTATTTACCTGGCCGAACTTGGAGCATTTGAGAAAGGTCAAATTTACTCCGTATGTAGAACGGGTCTGGCCAGGTCTAACTCGTTAGCTGAGCGGGCTAGGTCCAGGTCTCAAATTCGGCCCCAACTTGGCCCGCCCATGCCTGACCCACCCCCGACCTGGCCCAATTTTTATTTAGTCATTTGTTTGTGAAAGTTGTTCTCAAATTCAGGCCCGACTTGTTTATATTTATATGACATTCATTATTTTGTACTACTAGTATTGACCCGTGCGATGCACGGGATGGTATATTTTTCTGAAACTTTTTTAATAGTAACATTAAAATTTAATGCACTTTGTAGATATGTAACAAATGTAAAATGGAAAAACACAAATTTAAAACTTTATAAATTAGTAAACACTTCTTTGTATACAACGTTTTGGGTCTGATTTGGTGGCAAGTCATCGTCATTACAAACTAATATCTTCAACCCACTTTGGTTGGTGACACGGGAGGCGGCAACATATAATTGACAATGACTGAACACCGGTTTCTTAAGAAATAAACCAACATGCGATAACGACTGTCCTTGGCTCTTGTTGATAGTCATGGCATACGAAACCATAATGGAAAATTGTCACCTTTGAAACTTGAAAAGAATTCTGACATCGGAAGGAGTAATAACCATTCTAGGAATCAACACCTTCTAGCCTTCGTGATCCCCAGTGAGTATCTTACACTCAAGAACATGAGCGGATAGTTTTGTCACAACCAACTGTGTCCCATTACATAAACCCATAGAATGATCCATATTTCGCAATAACATGATGGGAGTTCCAATCTTCAAATGCAACTGATGATTTGGAATTCCAGAACATTTGATACTATTCAAGAACTCAGGCGTATGGATATCAGAAAGAAAATCATCATTAGAGTCCGACTTGTATGTACTGTCGAAACTTAAGTACGTATTACCTTTTGATAATTCAACGATGTCATGTATTCATTGATGGACTCAACAACATCCAGCGTCGGTGCTAATATTGCCCTGTCCTTCAAATAACTGAGATCATCAGTCGTCTGCTTAAACATTGGATATGTGCTCTCTACAATTTGAGCAATCGACTCATCAGATGTTTGAAGCAATATCAGTGATATCAGTGATATGAAGCTCTTCAATTTCGCTCTCCAATCCAATCTTGCTGTTGGTCACATAAATCGACGTCTTGTACCATTTGCTAATTGAAAATCTGTAAATTAAAATACAAAATTATACAATATATATACAACATCACAAAAATTACATAAATTGGAAATTGTTCTAGAATACTTACTTCTCAAGAAAATCTACAATTTTCGGGATATTAGCAGCAATAAGACGTGTGACATCCTGGAATGTAGTCAATTGATACTCACCTGTCGAAAAACAATATATATTAATTTGTAATTTAAACTATATTTAATAACATTATTTATATTGTATTATAAAATAAATAAATCGTAAATTTGAAATACCTGCAATACGTGTTGTCCTACATAATTGCATAATGAGAACCCATGGTTTTCCATTTGCCTCAGATTCAAAATGATTTTCATAAGCAATAAACTCGTCGACATAATCACCCCAAAGTGTGAAACGCATTAGGAATCCACTATTTAATAACAAAAAAAATTATATTAGATTTTAAACAACTAATATAAATATATAATTCATGTAATAAATATTACTTACTTCAAATCCATCATTGAAAAAACGATCTTTTGCTTTTCTTCTCCATTAATCCGTTTTGAATGAACGGGTTGAACCTTGACAACCATGCCAATAGCATCTACAATATATTTAAAATAAATAAATATCATTTTATTAGTTAATATATCAACAATAAACTATAAATTAAAATTTTAAAAATATTCAAATTTAGCACCAATTAAAGATTTACCATAAAGGATTGAATCATCCACAATGTCAAAATTTTGGGTATTCGCAAGACTATAGAAGTCAAATTGCCATGTAGGGAAATCGGATAGCATCTAAAGAACCTCTGTGTTCCCAAGAATTATGACTTTATATAGTCTCCATTAGTAGATCGAAATTTACCAACGTTGATGTCTAGTAGGTAGTTGCTTATTACATAGACTCCACCTCCTCGAAATACCCAACGAATACAAGCATACAATGAACTATGCCAGTTATACGGCTACCCTAAAAAACAAAGAAAAATTGTTATTGAGATATAAATTAATCAGTAATCACAAAACAAATTTAATGCACTACAATAACCTCGATATCGTGGAAAACTATTTCTAAATTGCTTGGGTAGGCTATGTAGAATACACGAATGACTCTAAGCTTAAGAACGAAACTCATATTCATTTTGAGCTGTCTGTTCAAGCCATATTGGTCCATAGGTTTTTTTCTTTCCTCGTTAAATGTATGGAGGAATTTCTTTAGGAATATGTGAGGGTTGAATGGCGGAGTCTTTGTTTTTTTGGTTATTTATTTATAGTGGTAATAGACTTTTAATTTGTTGGAAAAATCGAAAATACTAATATAATATAAATTATTTGTAAATCAGATTTTATATTCGAACATATTTAATTAGGTCTTAAAAAATCACAGAGAATCTTATTATGATATGTATGGCACGTTTTATGGACACATAATAAAAAATATATTTACAAAAATATAGATTTTATTTAAATATTTAATTAAAAAGGAATGAGATATTTATGGATCACCTTTTACATATATCTATTCAATTAATAATATTGAAGATTTCGGTAATCAATAAAATGGTTTTTAAGTGTAATATTAATTTTTATCTAAATCTTTAACATATTTTACGAATTGTCTTAATTAGTCGAAAATAAAAAGTAAAATCCATGTAAAATATAAACCTCAAGTTAAGCAAATAGAGAAATTAAAAAACAAAACAAAAACAAAACAAAACACCACATACAAAACACAAATGCAACATATAATAAAATCAGAACAAACATCACGCCAAACAACAAATATGCCAAAAACATTTCCATATATTGAAATTAGTCGGGAGTTAATATTTGTATTCGTTGTTTTCCAGCTAAACACAGAAACATGACTATCAACGGAAGATAAATAAAAAGAAAAACGTAACTTTCCTCTCCATTCAATCATCAGTCATCCACAAAAGTTCCATCATTAATATAATAGCATTACAAAACATAACAGCATGCTATCGCAAAGGCACTGTATTTTCAGCACAAGACACGATTATTTGACCAAAAGCCCATTCAATCATGGATCATCTATAAAGGTCCATCTTTGGCATAATACCATAATTAAAAACAATAGCATGCCATTGCCAACGCATAATTTTTTCGGCAAAATGTATCACCATTCACCAATTTCCATCAAGATATCTACTTTCTACTCAAAGATATCAAGACCCAAAGCACACGTGTTGAAATTGCAACAATATCCCCATAGATTAAAAGTAGCAACACCCAATTCGCAAGTGAACAAATAACCTTTTTTAGAATCCCTTTGTCACAGGGCGTATGGTTTACAAACGCCAACGACCAACAGAGAAAACAAACTTCAACAATTAAACCTGGGATGGCGAAAAACGTCAATTGAGCCACGTGAGAAAGGAAAAACTTTGATAGACTGAAACGGTAGGATTGAGGTTTCCGACGTCCTCCTAGTTCCGCCTGCTCGTGCTTTTGTGTGATAGACATTTTGGTCATCGATCTCAGTAGTGAGGAGTCCTCCAAAGATATCGTTTTCATGGTGTTCTGGTGAAGAGAGACGACGAAGATGTCAGATGTCACCATTGACAGCCTCATCTACAATTATTTGATTAGCCGCCTTCTTGCTCTCCAAAATCGCGGTCGAGAAGTCCTTCTTCCCACTTTACCTGTTCACAGCAAGAAAAGGATTCAGATTGTCGGAGCCAATCACTTGAACCAAATAACAAAGAAAAAAAAGAAAGAGATAAAGCGAGAAAAGAAAACGGAGAAAAACAAAATTCCATCGACGGTGAATGACTGAGATATGAGAAATGGAAAACTTACTGACATAGCGCAAATCCCGGAAGGCCATCCACCACTCAAGCTCCAAAGTCAATTGCAGGTATGACAGAGCAGATTTTCGAGGAACAAAATCCTTGCATAAGTCGCTTCTCGGTCAAAATTTTGGCAGTAAAAACCAAAAAAAAAAAAAGAAATGAAAACTTTTTTTGGGGGCTTTTTCTAAAACTTACCTCCGCCACGATTTCCTCCGGAATCTAGGTTCTGGCAGTCGGATGACGGCGTAGCGGCGGCGGCTCTATGACGCCATGCTGAAGCTGACGGAGGCCGCGCAAGAGAGGGGCACCGACCCTCTAATTTGGGTCTCGTGATTGTCCTCGAGCCTCGTGTCTGCAGGCGTCTCCACGCCGTCCGTCGAGGTGGTGAAGCTCCTCGAATCCCACATCTGCTTGTCGAACAATAAACCAATCGCGTGGAAGTTCGGGAGGCTGTCGTCCGTCTCCACATGAGGGCAAACTACACATTGATCTCAGCAGTGAGGCGTCCTCCAAAGATATCGTTTTCATGGTGTTCCGGTGAAGAGATACAAATTTATCTTCACGTAAAATTAGGATTGATAAAACAAAATGGTTTGTGATATATCTTGTTTCCTAAATAATTGGCTTACCAATTATTGAGATCCACGAATTCCACGGCAAAAAAATGAATACTTGCGGAATAGAAAATAGATTTCATAAATACGGCTACAGTTTAGATATGATTTTGTACAAATTTTAATGCGTTTCAATACCGGCTAACAGAAGAATTGGTTTTGATAACGTATTAAATTAATTTTGATAAGACTTTAATATCGGCACCTTTTTAGGACTTTTTGTTGATGATAAATATAGATTGATCTGTACAAATATACCATCCCGTAAATTATGGAATCACAAATTCAAATTGAACGGATTTTAAATATAGTATCACAATTTTAAATTAATTGGTTTTTATAAGATTGCTATAATTAGTATGTCAACATGGTTGACTCATTATTTTTTAAAACTTTCCCAAAATGATTTATTGACCTCTCTTTTTCAATATATATAGATTCTTATTTTAATCGAGACTGAAAGATACAAATCATACATCCTTTTCATCTTCCTATCTATTGATTTATTCTCCAGAAGCATACTTTAGGATATGGCTACACAAAACCATATATGAAGACACATAGAGAATGCATCTGAAGCAACATAGTTTAAACATTGACATACTTTAGGATATGGCTACAGGTTACACAAAACCATATTTAAAGACACTTTCCCATAGAGAATGCATGTGACGTAAAATTGTTTTGTTTGGTTGAACTTGAATATCCAATACAGAACAAGAATCTCTCTCCAATAATAGATTTCATGCCTCATGTATCTTTTATCGCCCACAAAATAGTATAAAACTTAAGCAAGACAAAATGCATCGACTATAGCAGTAAACGAACATTCAATTGTTGAATAACAGGCATCAAGACTTATAACTTACGGCCACTGTCAAATCAAAAAACATGGCCAATCAAATCAAGAGAAGCCAATCTGACACTTCGTAGGAAAGCTTATAAGATAAGTAAGAAGCTCATATTACCAAAAACAAAACTTATATAACTACGAAAAGATTATAAAGCTATCAAAATAAGTTTTGTCTGGTTGAATATTGAACAAATCAGTACGTCGTCCCTCATGAAAAGGCAAGCTCGCATTCCTTTGATCCTCGTTTAAACAATGCAATCTTTTGGAGCGCATTGAGCTTTTTCGCCGAGTCTAAATCAATCCAATTGGTTGTCGTGTGTACTTCCATCCTTCTCAACACTTCGGCATTCTTTAAAAAATACCTCACCATGCTAAATTCGGGCTCCGTGCAATCAAATTCATCAATTCTTACCATTGCTAGACGAGATAACAAGCATCTCGGCACTTGTTCGGGATCCTCCCAGATTATGGGATTTGAACGCTCCTGATAAGAGCAGTCACCATATCAGACTCCAAGACGAAAGAGCTACTGATCGAGGGGAATAAAAAAGAAGCAGAAGCTAAAGGTTACACATTTTTTAGCTCAACTAACCGTAGGGATGAATAGAACTTCAAGATTGTCAGCCCTCTCCAAGATTTTTGTTAGAAAACACCAATCGAAGTCCAACTCAAGCCGGGTACAATTATCAAACCTTGGGATTGATGTTATCCTAGAAGGCAACTGAAAACAGCCAGCATCAGTTATTAGTAGAAATGCAGAGTATTAAAACATATTATCCCAAAGGTGACTGAGTTACCGGCACATTAATTGACAGTTTTAGCCTCTTGACATTGCAGAGGCGATTGACGAAATCCAACACTGATAGACGATAAGGCTCGTCCCAATTACCAAAAGAATAATAAATGTAAATGTCTGCCTCAATTAAGGAAGTTAGTGCACAAGTTGAGACATGTGAAGCCGTGCGAACGCGTAGGTGTAGATATTCAAGTGCGGGAGCATTTATCCCCACCTCATGGTTGTAAGAAAGTGAAGTTTGAGAAGAGAACTCGAGCTTTTTTATTGTGGAGGAAGAGATATAATAATTTCCAACAACACAGTCATCAATGGACAAATCATCAAGCACCGGGCAGTAACAAAGCAATTTAGGTAAGGTTTTCATCAGTTCCAAATCGAACAGTCTTGAGATTAAGCTTCTTGAGGCGAGGGAAAGATATGTCCTCACCCCTAAAACTTGGCAATACACAATATGTGAGCCTCAACTCAACAAGGGTTTTTAACATGAAGATGGCTCGAGGCCAAGCCATGATAAGATTGGGTATATTGAATCTGGGGGAGATAATGAGACTGTTGATACTGCGCCCGGCAAACCACTTCTCGACTCTGTTCTCGTTTAAACGAGGACGCCTGCATTTGAGGCAGAAAGTGTTTATGCTCTGCAATCTAGGATCAGACATAACCGTGTCGATGATGTTCCAGAATCTCGTCTCGTGATTGTGATTTATGCTGTCAAAATCAAGATTGGGGAAGTGGGCCCACATGAACCTCCATCTTGTAGAGAGGATGCTGGTCGACACGGAGATCTTGATCGGGAGAAACGAGAGAATGTGACTGATGATGTTATCCGGCAAGGCGCTTAGTCTGTCGACCCGTGGCATGCTTCCGGGTTCCCACGGACCTTTACACGAACACATAAAGGTCAATACTTTAAACAAGAAGAGTGAGTAAACTAACAGAGTTTGGGTTCACACCGACCTTTTCACAAACACTTGAAGGTCAATACTTTAAACAAGACCCCTGCATAAATTAACAGAGTTTTATCATTGCTCAACAAGCATAAACCAAATACAGGAACTGATGGAAAACGATACGGGAAAATTGAGTCCACCATTACAGGGAAAATCCCTTTTATCTCTCCACCCCCATCACTTTTTTCCTGTGATAAGTGGGCGTTTTCAGTTGTACAATTGAGTAGTAAAGAAACCAAATACGAATTTAAAAGGATAGGGTACACACCTCGAACTCCTGGCCGAAACTCAAACGATTTGAAAGACGAAGAGTGAGGATAACTCAAATGATAGTTGATCAATGAAGATTAGGATGATTAGCTGTAAATTGGTTGATAGGTCACGAAAATGTGAAGGGATAAATTGAATATAAAATCATTCTGTTCATAACGATACATTCATCATATCAAGGTCCAGGAAATTATTGGTGTAGCTAGTTTATTTTCTTCCTGTTCATTCTCTGCTGTTAAAATTTAAGTTGCTGTTTGTTTGTTTGTTTGTTAGTGGTGAATTTGGAGAGCTGCTTGTTTGGCTTTCTTTTACTCTTTTACCAGCATTTGTTTGTTGGTATTCTGTTTGTAACCAATCGGTTATGCCTATGTATTGTACTCTTGTTATTGAGTTTCAGTTAATAAATTGCTTTATGGTTCTGAGAAAAAAAAAAAAAATAACGATACATAATACATTCGATGGAAAGAAAAAGAGTATGTTAGGGCATCCACATTGGTTTAACTCTTTTTCCATTCATTCATTTAAAAAGTTACACTCTCTTTCATCCAGATCATCTTTTCACTAATTCTCTCTCCATTTAAACACACATCTACATCCCTACACATTTATTTAAATACAAATATGGGACCCATTGTATCCATTCATTCAATATAAATTTTAATATTCTATTCTCAACAAAAATAAAATTTAATATTTTTAAATTATAATAATAAATTTTAAATGTATGAAAATAAAAGAACATTACAAAACCAAAATAACTTAAATTAAGATTACACAAGAATAAATAGTACAATTACAAAATATATTTTTTTAGTGGCTAAAATGAGTCCAAATATGCTCAACTAAATCGACACGAAGTTGATTTATGCATTGTGTTATCTCGTATCTCTGAACTTGTACGGATATAATTTTGAAATGCTCGGTTTGAACCCTGGACAGGTTGTGCGGGCTCTTCATCCTCGTCATTGTGCCAATGTGATACTACAACTCCTTCATTTTCAACAATCATATTGTGTAGAATAATGCATGTCAACATAACAAATTTCAGTTTTCTTCTATACCAAAATCGAGCAGGACCTCTTACAATTGCCCATCGAGACTGAAGTACCCCAAATGCTCTTTCCACATCCTTTCGAGCAGCTTCTTGTTTTTCTTTAAATAACTTTCTTTTAGGATCTGACGGGCAAGGAAAAGACTTTACGAACGTAGCCTATTCTGGATATATTCCATCTGTAAGATAATACCCATTTGCATATTGTGTGCCGTTGACAGTAAAATGAATGTTTGGTGCATTTCCTTGCAACACGCCACTCAAAGAAGATACATATACATCTATGTATATATTCACATTTACACACTAGACCATATATGGTTTAAAGCAAATTTACACACTAGACCATATATGGTTTAGAGCATATATTCACATTTTAAAAATGATTGTAATAAATTGAATTTCTTAAAGAAGATACATATACATCTTTGTGGTGCAAGAGAAGTGAGAAACCTAAGTGTATTTATAGGCAAAAATGGGGATAAGAAATATAAAATATTGATACATACTGAGAAGTGTGATATAGATAAAATTTTAATTTATCTGTATTGGAAAGTGTGATATAGATAAAAAATAAATAAAATATCAAAAACAAAAAGGAAAATAAAAAAAATAAGATTAGAACTTGAGAAAAGAAATAAAAAATAAGATTTCAAAAGCATGTGCAGCATGCATATTAATAAAATAAGGCAAAAAAAAAAAAAAAGAAAAGAAAATGGGAAATGAACGTTCAATATGTTGAACGAGGTGGTGGGCCCCCCCTTTTAACGGATGAGCTGCATCCGTATTAACACAGAGGGGGCCGTTTAAACAACAAAAAAACAGCACCGATGCGGGTGCCCTATGAGTTATGACTTATATTGTTCGTATATTGCTTCCTACACGAAATCGTATATATATTTGAACTATACCCTTATTGAAGTATTTTATTGTTCGAAAATACGTATTATTATTAGTATAGTATACCCTTAGGCCCCCTTTACTTGAGGGGATTGGATGGGATAAAACCCTTTAACCAACCTTGTCCTATGTTTACTAGAAATAAATGGGACAGGGATATTACACATGTGGCTTGTGGGGCCCACGCCTAAAATGCACGCTGGCTGGACAACTTCATCCCCCTAAAATGGACGGATTTTTTAATCCTTCTTTCAAAATGACCAAGTTGTCCAAAAAAATCCCACCTAAAAAGTCCATATTATCCTTTGATGTCTATTTTATTACCCAATTAGGCACATATAAGTGATGAATCTGCCATTATCTTCTTCTGCGAAAGTCTGAACCCCAATTTCTCCCTCTCACGCAGCTGAAGCTCAAGGTTCGTCGCTTTCGATTTTTTTTTTCTCCCTATTTATCCTATTTTTTGAATCTGAATTAAATCTATGTTCTAAATTGTTGCCAGCCCTTGGGGCTTCAACAATTTTCGAAAGTCCCCAAATTAAGGCCCGAATCTGAGTGCTTCAACAATTTTCGTCGCCGTCGTAGCCCTTCTGCTTACACCCCACTCCCGACGAGTATTATTATGTTCACGTCACCGACAGAATTTTGCGGAATACAAAGTTGTGCGTGATGTTCTATTTCTGACTTTATCCCACGAAAATGTGGCAGACGATTTTCTGGTAAAGTTGAAAAAAAAAAGTGTTGAAGAGGAAGAGGGTATAGTGGTCTTTTAATTCACATCAGATAATTGTATTACACCCAAGTAAATGTTTGATAGGGATTGACTTTATCACAATCATGTTTTGTAAACAAGGTTTATGCACTGATGTGTAAAGGTGAAAGTGATTATTGTGTCCAATCCCATCCACCCAAGTAAATGAGACCTAATAATTTAAATTATAAGCCTATGGCGCCTTGCGATGAATAATTATTAAAGTGAAGCCGCTAAATAATATTATTTTCGGTGCATGTACTTGTTTTTTTTAAATGAGGCTAAATTTTTTCAGAAGGATATGAGCTAATAAGAAAATAATCTCCACCCAGTATTATTACAAATAATAAAGAATAATTATTTTTGGGTGCAATTTTAAATATAAATTCACACCAACAACTAATCATATTATTCTTACACATCACATCAATTTTATTTCACTATTCATCTATTCACATAATTTTAACTAACTATCACTTCTTATCAATTTTTTTCCTATTTTACATCAAACCACCTTTAGTTATTTTATTTTAAATATTATACTCCCTCCTATTCATAATAAGTGTCGTTTTGGGAAGTTGCACACTAATTAAGAATAATTTTTTTGCCAATAACAACCCTTATTAATGAAGATAGAGATTGATGTTTTAAAAAAAAATGAAGAGAATATGAAAAGACGTAGTGTATTTATTAACTAAATGAGAGTAATAATGGAAAAAATATGTACAAAAGATCCAAAACGACATTTATTTTGGTTAATAGTTGATAAAACCAAAATGACATTTAAAAAGAATAGGAAGTAGTATTAATTTAAAAATAAATTCACACTAACAACTAATTATATCATTTTTTTAAAAAATTATTTATAATTAACAAGAAACCAATAAAAAACAAATCAAATTCATATCCAATCACAGTATTACATCCAGACACCCAAAAATTCCAATCGTACTTACACATCATATCATCTTTAATTCACTATTCCTTCACTCACAGATTTTTAACTAACATCACTTTCTATCACATATCTCTTACTTTTAAGCCAAATTAACTGTAATAACTTCAATACAAATTTAAAATCCCACTCAAATTTAATTCAAACAAATTTTCAAAATTAGCACTAATTAATTGAAAGATCCAATAATTATTAAAAAAAAATACTTATGGTGTGATTGGAAATAAACTAGATTAGTAAAAAGTCAATTAAAATTTAAATTTAACTCAACTTTAACTCACCCCCTATCTTCAATATTATAAATATAATTAGATAATATCAACTAATCATTCTTACACATCATATCAACTTTATTTCACTATTTATCTATTCACATAATTTTAACTATCACTTCTAATCATTTTTTTCTTATTTTAAATTAAATCAATTTTAATTGTTTTATTTTAAATATTATTTTAATTTAAATACAAAATTATAGTAACAAGTAACCATATCAAATTTATATCCAATCAATACCGACCTTTTCACTACGGTTCGGTTGTTCAAAATAATTAATTACCAAAAGTGAAAGTTGGAATGACACACTATAAAATGGAAAGGCCATTTGAGCCTTTGAGCTACTACGATTTTTTTCCCTATTTATAATTAATCAATTTCGTTTAGAATATCTTTATCAATTATGGCGAAATTACACTACATAGTACATGTAACATGTCAATATAAAGCTTAAAAACAACCCTAATTAATTTGTAGACCACCATTAGAGCAGAAAATCGGCCGACGAAGACGAGTGAAGTTTTCCATGGATGAGAGCAAGAAAAGCAAGCCGCCGATAGACAGGCTCAGCTCCTTGCCGGACGGCGTCATCTGCAACATCCTCTCCTTCTTCCCGACGAAAACCTCCGTCTCGACCAGCGTCCTCGCGAGACGATGGAGGAATCTGTGGGCCCACGTCCCCGTCTTATACTTCGCCGAAATCGACTTCCGCGGCGCGTCGGACATCTCGGGGGTAGTTAACGATGTATTAGTCGCTCACAAAAGCCCCACCATAGACACGTTTCGCATTTACCTCACAGATATGTGCGATGACGATGATTTCGAGGATTGGATGGTCACCGTCGTCGCCCGCAAGGTCCGCAATCTCGATGTTTACCTAGAGACGAGTTTGCCCCAAATCATCTTCTCCTGCGAAACCCTAGTCGATTTGAGCCTCGGCTCGTGCCACATCCCAGACTCCGGCGACGTGTCCCTGCCCGCCCTTAGGAAGCTTAAACTCGAATTGGTCAGCTACGAATCGTACAAATCCCTCCCGAACCTGCTTTCCGGGTGTCCGGTTCTTGAGGAGTTGGATATCGATATGGGTTATGGAGAAAATCATTCTAATGATTGTGATGTAGCTTCACTCACTCTTAAGCGTCTCTCAATCAGTTGTGGCAGTACCGACGAAGACCATGATGTGAGTGAGGATTACATTTTCGAGGCTCTCCCGTGCGAGTCAATGCTGGACACGCCTGCCCTTAGGTTTCTCCAATTGTATCATGTTTCGCCTCCGGAGGTCACGGCCCGTGCACTGGCTTCATTGACCGAAGCAAAAGTTGATTTTGATTTGGGATTACAAAGGGGACCTTCTTCGAGGTCTGTGTTGGAGTTTGTGGGTAAGCTTTGCGGCGTGAGGAGTCTGACATTGACAACTGGTTTTATGAATGTGAGTATGATGATTATGCTGGGTTTTTTTAGATGAAAATATCATCTCATGTTGGTTTTATATGTGGCATTGAGTGCATTGTTTCTGTTTTTGGCAGATTACCGTCTCTGAATTCTCTGTTTTGAATGTTAAATTTCCCAATTTGACCAAGCTTGTGTTGGAGGAGGCTCATGGGGGCTTTGTGTCGGTTTTTCTTGAAAATGCTGATAATCTTGAAGTCCTGGCCATCAAATTGCTTGTAAGTTCCTTTTGGATTTGTTCCTTTTTAGTCTTTGGTTAATGATTATTGAGGCGACTTTATTTTTTGAAGTATCAGTTCGAAGAGGATCTGAATTACTGGGTGGAACCGAAACAAGTGCCGACATGCCTAATATCACATCTCAAATATCTTGGAATCTATGGATTTGAAGGTGAGGAACCAGAGCTTAACATGACAAAATATTTGTTGAGGAACTCGAAAGTCTTGAAGAGTTTGAAAATAAAGCCCCGAAGCCAGCAGCCTCGTTTGAAGGGAAAGTTTGAAGAGCTCAACAAGGTACTGCTTGAGCGAGGCTATGATGCGAGTAAGATTAACTTCCATTGAGATTGTTCGGAGATTCAGTTGGTTGACGTGCTTTTTCCTGTTAGCTCGATTAACTATATTCTACCACCTTGTGACCCTTTAATCCTTTTTATGCTGTCGATCATTGGTGTGGCTTAGCTGATTTTATAGTTTCCATTTGTTTGTCCCCTATGTTTAGTTTATTATGGATGACCTGTTAAAATTTTTCTTTTTTTCTTGGATGTTTTTCTTCTTACTGTTTCAACTAAGACTAGCATACTCCAAGGTTTAGAAACGAGTGTCCGAGAGTTTACTAATCAGCAGCTATTTACTGTTTCAACAGTAAGATGGACGCCCGCATAAAATCTTACTGCTTGAACCCAAAATTCTCGTGAGGAATGCTAGTCTTAGAGAGGATGTTGCGTACATTTAGGAAATTTTTTATTGTTCCCAAGTAATCAGGATAGGCTGATGATTGGTTTTAAAGTTAAAAAATTTCATCAATAATATACTAAAAGAAAACTTTTAGTTAAATATTTTTTTCACATCTGACATTTTACCATTTGCCATTTACGTATCACAATCTCACTCCCAATCTCCATAATCTCATTATATATAAAAATTTCTTGCTTAAAATAAAATAAATAGATTGTGGTATTCAGAAGTGACAATGGGGCAGTGCAGACTGTTGGAACTATCGAACATGGTCGTGGGCCCAAACTTGAACCGTGCCCGTACATTAGAGCATCTCCAAATTGAAGTGGATTGGCAAATAGACGGTCTTCTTGTCTACGTATAAGTAGAGAAAATGACCCCTTGGACAATCCAAATTATTTTTATTTCCCAAATAACGAGATTAATATTTACATTCCACTTTAATGTTTTTGGTTCATATTTACGATTTTGAAAACACTTCAATTACACAGTATAACCCTCTTTAATTCTCTCCATATAAAGTCTAATCCTCCCCCGTCCAGAAGGTCTGCATCTCGCCACCAACGTCACCCCGCTTCGAGATCCTCTCCCCCTCCAACTCCCTCCTCGCGCCGCCTGCACCGTCCGCCGCTTGCACTGCAATTCCGACATATCAAATGCTTTCGTCTTCTCTTCCAAAGGGTGTTACAGACAAGTTGGACGCTTTAAATTGTTGCTTCTTATGGGGATCAGAAACAACATTTAGAATTTTTTTTATTTTATTTTTTATAATTTTGGGGGTTTCATTGATTTATCTTAGATCTATGATTTCTTGGATTTAAGATCTGAAAAAATGATTATCGAATTCAATCGGCTCGAGAAGTAAACTGTGCGGATGACCATATAATATATTGTTCGTCTGGGTCATATGTTGTGTTGTTTATTTGGGGTTGTATTGATGATGGAAGGGCATATCATATGTTGTACGTGTTATCCATTGAATATCAGTTGTGCAATCTAGAAATGGAGAAGGCCTGGTGGGTTTGGGGAATGTTCTTGTTAATTTTGAATA